AATAACACAAATAAGACTTTCTCCTGAAGAAAAATTGTGTTTTTTTCCTATGAAAGTTAATACAGGATTTCAGCATTCTTCAAAAGGTATGTTTAGCAGAATAAAGAAATGTATAAAGGTCTGAAACCACTTTGAGGGTGAATAAATAGTGCGCAATTGTTAATTTTTTGTTGAACTATTCCTTTATTGAACAACTCTTCTGACAATACAGCTATAGTATTGAAAAACGTATGCTATAAAAATGTTATTTTAGCTTTATTTCACTTAATTTCTTCCGCAGTTTCAGTTGAAGACAATAAAATCTGTGTAGGCGACATGCAATTTTTCATGAATGAAACAAGGCAGCGTGTGACAGATTCACATCTAATTTTGCACAACACGCGTTTACCAGAGGCTTTTGTCTCCAGGAATTGTTTTGTAATAACATATTTTCAATGTTGCGTCAGCTGAAAGATCAGCAGCGAAGATAAAAACAGTTAAACATCTAATACCCACAGCCTCTTTTACACTGAAATCAATAAAAAATATATATAAAGACATGTGTTAAATTTATTCCACCCCACAACAGAAGCAAAAACAAGTGGTAATACCAATGAGAGAGCACATAAAATAATAAAGATAAAAAAAGAAAATAACAACTACATATTTTCTTAATTTTAAAGCTGTTCTATGTCGTTTTATGAAATTAAAACTTAATCACATTTCTTTTATTAGTTTTCTCCGTAAAAATAACAACAACAAAAATACCAGTAATACTGATGATGTTAGATTTGCATAATTTTAGTCAAACATCTAACCTTTATGGCCTCTTTTACACTGAAATAAATGAAATAATTGATTAAAAACCTATATATTCATGACATCAAGTCAATAAAAACATTCCACCACACAACAGAAACAAAAAGAAACGGCAATACCAATGAGAGAGTGCATAAAATAATAAGGATTAAAAAAGACAAATAACAACTACATATTTTCCTAATTTTAAAGCTGTTTTATGTCATTAAATGAAATAATTTTGTTATATTATTTTTCAGTGTATTTACAATAGTTAATTAACTTGTATTTAGAAAAGTATTTTGTTACATGGATTACATTTAATATTAAGTTTGCAATATTACAGTTATTGTACGCATCAAAGTTTTGTTTTATATGAACATTTGATTTGCATAATTGTACTTAGTTAATTATATTAAATATGTTTATTCAGTAGTTATAATATTTTATTTATTTACTTTTATACTTATGAGGACGATTAAAACTCATTTTGTTGTTTACTTATCTGAATGCATTCAAAACGAACAAATAAATGTAAAATCTGCTAATAATTTTAACAAAAACTGCCAATTATTTAAGACAATTTACAGCATGAACCAAAACTGTCCTCAAGTTATCTAAAATAATTAAATAAATATAGATTTTTCTTCATTAAAAAGTGATAATAATAAATCCCCATCGCTCTCGTCAATTTACAGCTTGATCTATAACTGTGCTCAGATCAAAAATAAATTAAAAAAAAAAAAAAATATATATATATATATATATATATATATATATATATATATATATATATATATATATCTTCCATCACTCCCATGAGTGAACCACAACATGTCAAACAACAGATTAGAATAAAGTAGAGTCTTGAGGACCGCAGAGCCCTTGTTGTCACTGTAATTCTTGTTTCTAGTAAGAAACACATGTTATAATGTGAAATGAAAATGACTAGTAATGAAATAAGACATATGCTTAAAACCATATATGCATTTGAATACAGAAATTGTGCTTTGATAATCAACTGTATATACATTTTTCAATACCGCAACTGTATTATCAGAAAAGTTGTAGTAAAAATAACTATAGGAATAGTTCACCTAAGAATTACCATTTGCTCATTTTTTAGTCACGTTCAAGTGGTGTCAGACCTTTATGAGTTTCTTTATTCTGCTAAACACAAAATAATACATTTTGAAGAAAGCTGAATACCTGTAACCATTCACCTTCACAGGAAAAATTAATACTATGGAAGTCAATGGTTACAGGTTTTCACCTTCTTTTGTGTTTATCTGATGATACATATAGAGGTTTGAAACATTTTAAAGGTGAGCAAATTATGACAATTTAAGTTTTGGGGTGAACTATCCTTTTAAAGTGCAAGTGTATAGCGCCATCTATTGATGATGAAGATAAAAAGCATCACAAGCTGAGCAACAGGTGTTCAACACCCGGAAAACACACATTAACCGACTAAACAGACAGCAGCGCCATCTTACGTCCAAAACAAGAAGTGATATCATGATTAAAAACATCAGCTATAGAGATAGGCTGCTTTCTGAAATTCAATGCAAGCTTTACATATAAAAAATAGTGTTGATTTTTAAAACGTACATGCTAATACCAGAGCTGCTTTTTAGCATATGGGAAATTCCATTCAAATGTCAACCCTGCCATGAATAAGGTTCTCACCTTTTTAGGTTTTTTGTGCATATACATCCTCAAAAATGTCTGTCAGTGTTTTCAAACAAGTATATTTGATTTACTAAAGTCACACAAGATCCTATTTCACACCTGTCACATCCATAACGGAGAGCTGTCACACCCATAACCAAGCTTTTTCCTCGTAAATGCAAACTTGTCAAATAAAGTCAACTCTTATTCTTTTTTTTTTATAATTATTTTTTAGGGGTTTTCATTTTTATTTGATAGGACAGTCAAGAATTGACAGGAAAGCATGGGGAACAGAGATAGGGGAAGGATCGGCATAGGACCGCAAGGTGGAATCGAACTCGGGTCGCCGCACTAACCACTACACCACTACACCACTGGCGTCGACAACTCTTATTCTTTTGATCAGCATTGTTTATTTTGGGTTGTGCAGTTTAATTTACAGAATTTCTACAGTGTGATGTGTGTGTTCTCACAGGGATTTTTCCAAACTCACTTAAAAATGCAGTTGTTAAACTCCTCTTGAAAAAGAGCAACCTGGATAACACCCTATTGAGCAATTACAGACCAATCTCAAATCTCCCTCTCATTGGCAAAATCATTGAAAAAGTTGTTTTCAATCAGGTTATCAAGTTCTTAAAATTCAAGGGGTGTTTAGACAATTGTCAATCTGCTTTTAGAGCACATCACAGTACAGAGAGCGCTCTTATAAAGATAATCAATGATATCCGCCTAAATACAGACTCGGGCAAACTAAAAGTGCTGGTACTGCTCAATCTCAGTGCTGCATCGGACACTGTCGGTTACAGCAAACTTCTTGATAGGCTAGAAAACTGGGTTGGGCTGTCTGGAACGATCCTCAAATGGTTGAGATATTACTTTGAAGGGAGAGGTTACCATGTCAGTATAGGTGACCATAGGTCGAGGTGGACACCCATGACGTGGAGTCCAACAAGGCTCGATTCTGGCACCTCTCCTGTTCAACTTTTACATGCTTCCTCTGAGCCAAATAATGAGAAAGAAACAAATACATATAACATAGAAATAAATTTGCCTTGCCTCGTATACTTTTTTGGTCACATCCAAAACGCATGTTTATTTCCCTCATTTAAAATATAAATCTGTTTACGGATTGGTATTTTTCTACTCCTATAACTCTGTGGGGAGTTGTTTTGGAAGATATAAACAGATGTTTCACTTTAATGTTAACATTTGCTTTCTCTGTAAGTTTAGTCTGTTTAGTTTTTACTGCAAATGTCACATCCATAATGCTGGAATTGCTCATTTAAGCCATTTACAAACAAATACAACCAAAAGTGTGTTATAAAAGGTCAGTGTGGTTCTAAAGTTCAGCTATAAACAGCTTTCACTCACTTTTCAGATCAATTAAAGGGAATCACAGAAAAATGACAATTTCCTGTTTATTACAGGTAAAGTCAGAATTATTAGCCCCCCGTATATTTATACCCCAATTTCTGTTTAAATTTCTTTGTCATAATGACAGCACATTTTGACTTTAACTGTATATGGGGACGTATATCTCCCGCCATTATCGAGTCTCAATTTTGTTCCTTTTTCTGTAAGTTTTGATAACACTATCAGTAGCTATGTTTCCATCCAAAAATGCGGATGAACTTTATGCGCAAAACTGGAATATCGCATAAAAATACATGCAAATTAAGCAGCGTTTCCATCCAGCGAGTCAAATCGAACAAAATCATCTTTTCTTGATTAACTGGCGCCAAATATCAACAGTAAAAACTGAATTTGCTGCAGTGGGAGAAGCTGCGTCAGTCTTTTCTTCATCTAATAAATGACTTGCGCCTCAGAAGGCAATCCTGACACGCAGTGGCGTTTGAAGGTGCCAGACGTGGAGCACAGACGCTCTTGATTCTGGAAGTCATTAATAATATTAACTAATACTTAAATGGTAGGGCGTTTTAGAAAGACCTAAACAACATTTCAGATGTTTTACAACGTGCTCAGCCTGCTGGTTTATCCATTCACACACATTTTTATCATCACATGATCTCTTATAACAAAATCACATGACCTTTTTTTAATGCGCATGCTGAAATCTGTGCCGTAAAAGTGTTTCCATCATAGTTTGTGTGCATCTTTTCTTATCGGATAAAAAGTTTATCCTACTCAGCTATGCGCACAAGTCTTTTTATGCGCATTTTCAAAATGTATGCACATCATGGCGTTTCCATCAACCGTTATTTTATGCGCATATGCAAAATATGAATAAAAATAAGTGGATGGAAACATGGCTATTGAGATTTTCTTTTATCACTTGAGCAATACATTCATTTGTTGTGCTCTCCCATTCACTGCTCTCTAAATTTACCCAACTATGATAACAGTCCCTGCTGAGAAACCTGGAAAAGTGAAAAGGCTCCATTCACAACCTATTGCTATTTGCCTCATTTCAAATTAAGATTACGATTTGATTTCAATTAATTGCACAGCCCTACTTAGAAGTGATTCAAGAAAGAACCGCAATGCATTTGGAAAATCTCAGAATCGCAATGCAAGACTATCTGCGTAATTACCTGAATTCCAGAAGTGGTGAAATAGGGGATCTCAAACTTGACACTGATTGGTGGTTTTCCCTCTTTGTCCTCCGCCTCGACGCTGGGCAGGCCGAAATGAGCCCTCATCAGATACTCCTTACCTCCCTGAAACACAAAAACACATCTTCCATCTTTAGCTAGTTTATTATGAACGCCGTTTATTTGTTTGTTTATTGTGACATCAGCAGCTTATGGATATTTTATGGCAAGAATAGTATAGATAAAAACTAGTGCTGGGCAAAGATTAATCACAATTAATTGGATCCAAAATAAAAGTTTGCTTTGACATAAGATATGCACGTGTACTGAGTATATTAATTATGTATATATAAAAACACACACGCATGCACATATTAGGGATTTTGGTAACACTTTATAATAACTACACACTATAAATCATTTATTAAGCATTAGCAAATAGTGAATTCATTATCCGTTGAGCATTAACTCTACATTAATAAACGTTAGTAAGCAGTTTATAACTGCAGCTACACATGCTCCATTCTTGACTTATAACCACAGTTAAAATGTGCTTAATAATTGTATTTTCATACTTAGTAAATGATTTATTTTTCATTACTAAATTAAATATCGCATTATTTACAAACCAGTTGTATTTAGGAGTAGTTGAGGGTTTTTAGGATCATTCAGAATGAGTTAGTAAATGATTAATAAACTATTAAATTCAACATTTATATGTCTTATTATTCAGGCATATACTAATGGTTACTTTGTATGTTAATAAATGCTTTATTAACTCAACTTCATCTGGTTTTGACCTAATCTAAAGTGAGGACTATTCATGCTTTATAAATCCTTTATAAATGACAAATAAAGGCTCAGTTAAATTCTAAACAGGAAAAATGACATTATTCATTCCTTTTCGATTAAAGATACACAAATGAAACTGTACTTCAAATAAAAAGTAAATCTTTGCAACCTGATCTAAAATAAAATCACTGTAGAGTTTAAACATGACATTTTATTACATTGTTTAATTATTATATTGTTGTTTTATCCAGTTTTGCTGTATTTTGACACTCCTGTTATTCAGCAATGTTTAAACTTTACAGTAATTTTACATTTTAGAAAAGATTGCAAAGATTATCGTTCATTTGATTCTGAGCCTTTATTTGTCATTTATAGGGGATTTATAAAGCATAACTAGTCCTCACTTTAGATTGGGTCACAAAACTGCATGAAGTTGAGTTAATAAAGCATTTATTGACATATTAGTTGACTATTAGTATATGCCTGAATAATAAGACATATAAACGTTGATTTCAATAGTTTATTAATCATTTACTAACTCATTCTGAATGATCCTAAAAACCCTCAACTACTCTTAAATACAACTGGTTTGTAAATAATGCGATACTTAATTTAGTAATGAAAAATAAATCATTTACTAAGTATGAAAATACAATTATTAAGCACATTTTAAATGTGGTTATAAGTCAAGAATGGAGCATTTGTAGCTGCATTTATTAACTGCTTACTAACATTTATTAATGTAGAGTTAATGCTTAACGGATAATGAATTCACTATTTGCTAATGCTTAATAAATGATTTATAGTGTGTAGTTATTATAAAGTGTTACCGGGATTTTTTTTATATTTAGATACAAACTATATATATATATATGTATGTATGTATATATTTATATTTACACATGTTTTTAACTTTAAATATCTATGAAAAAACCTGTTTTAAATAGTTTTGTTTTTGTGTGTCCGCATTACATATACATAATAAATATATATAATCCACACACAAAACAAACTTTAATTTTGGATGCAATTAATGACGATTAATCTTTGTTCAGCACTAATAAAAACATATTACACAATAATAATAACGACTTAAACATTCCATAAGAGATACTGAAAATGTACATAAAAATATTAGATATTATTTTTTCAGTTGAATATATGATGAATAACCTTAAACTCTTCATTCATCAAAGTGTTCTCAGTATAAAATTCTTGCCAAGTATTCTTTAGAATTTAATATTTTAACAAAATGTTTTTTTGGTGAGGGAAGTTTAGCAGTGGTTACAAGTCAGAGGTGCATTAACCTTCAATAACTACAAATGCATCAACCTAGAGCAGTGGTAGGGAACCTGTGGCTCTTTGACCAAAATATGTGACTCTCCAGCTGTCTTCCTTCAATATTATTTTACCTTTTAAAATACTATAACCATCACTAGAAATCAGTTTCTTATCAAAAATAAAATTACAATCACCTTTTAAATTGATATTTTATACAGCACAATGAATAAGAACTCAGTTAACAATAAAAGAAAATTTCGACCAATGTGCGTTTTTGGCAATGTGGATAAACTTGACTTGTGACACCAATAAAGGGGCAAACAACTTATATTTCTATGATAACTTAATTCAAAGAACATTCACGAGTGGTGATGGTGAAAATAAAAATACTCTAAATTGTCCTTTCTTCATTCATGGACTTGCTCAACATTTGGTGCTTCATATTTGTTTTTTGAGTTGTGCATGGACATAAATTAAGGTTTTGTTAAAACCTGTATTATATTAGAGTAATATTATAATAATAATATAGTATTAGCAGTAATACTATCATATATTTTAGTGATTTATAGTAATACAGTAGCAAATGCATTTTCAAAGAGGCATTTTGAGATCTACAGTTGAAGTCAGAATTATTCGCCCCCTTTGTATTGTTTTATTTTTTTTAAATATTTCTCAAATGATGTTTGAATTTTCACAGTATGTCTGATAATATTTTTTTCTACTGGAGAAAGTCTTATTTGTTTTATTTTAGTTAGAATAAAACGAAGTTTTGAATTTTTAAAAAAACTATTTTAAGGTCAATATTATTAGCCCCTTTAAGCTATATTTCTTTTGATAGTCTACAGAACAAACCACTGTTATTCAATAACTTGCCTAATCACCCGAACCTGCCTTGTTAACCTAGTTAATCTCTTAAATGTCACTTTAAGCTGTACAGAAGTGTCTTGAAAAATATCTAGTCAAATATTATTTACTGTCATCATGGCAAAGATAAAATAAATCAGTTATTAGAGATGAGTTATTAAAATTATTATGTTCAGAAATGTGATGAACAAAAATCTTCTCTCCGTAAAACAGAAATTGTGGAAAAAAAATAAACAGGTGTCTAATAATTCTGACTTCAACTGTATATACATCCAAATGGCTCTTTAAAGAAATGCATTTGCTTAAAAAAAACTGAAATGGCTCTTTGCTGAAAAAAGGTTCCCGACCCCTGACCTAAAGCAACCAATTCAGCATCTAGTATAAACAGTTTGGTCACGTCCGCTTTCAAAAATAAAATTTGAAGAGTCTTTCAGATATGCTCGAGTTGACCTCTTTTTATTGTTTGCATTCCACTTGCCATTTTTCATATATAAAGTTGAAGTCAAAATTCTTAGCCCTCCTTTTATCTTTTTCAAATATTACCCAAATGTTGTTTGGATGTTTGACAGAGCAAGGCATTTTTCAAAGTATTTCCTATAATATTTTTTCTTCTGGAGAAAGTCTTATTTGTTTTATTTCGGCTAGAGTAAAAAAGTTTTTATAATAATAATAATAATAACAAATATTTTATAATGATAACAAATTCTTTTATAATCATTTTAAGGTGAATATAATTAGACCTCTTAAACAATATTTTTGTTTAGATTGTCTACAGAACAAACCATTATTATACAATAACGTGCCTAATTACTTTAACTTTACCCTAATTAACCTAGTTAAGCCTTTAAAAGTCCCTTTAAGTTGAAATTAGTATCTTGAAAAATATCTAGTCAAATATTATGTGCTGTCATCATGACACAGATAAAAGAAATTTATTAGAAATGTATTAGTTATTAGAAATGAGTTGTTAAAACTATTATGTTTAGAAATGTGTTGGAAAAAGTCAAACAGAAATTGATGGAAAAATATACTGGGATGCTAATAATTCTGACTTCTAATGTAAATATAAATTAATTGCAAGTTTCAGATTGTAGGGACTAATTATATCATGATTGCACATGTAGGTTTTCTTACAGGGAAAGACTTGATGGACCAAACAATCTCGCTGTTTTCAGGCACCCACTTTACGCTGCCCACTGTGGTCTTAAACTTTGGCGAGTCGGCGTCTGTCGGGACTGGAATATGAATCTCCACATTGTTGGCAGTAGAGCGTCGCTTAAACTGAGACTTGGCCTATGGTAGGACAAAATAAACATGAAGGTTATTTTACATAAAAGTTGAGTTTGCTGTACACTGATCTGATATCAACAATGACATTTATAACTTACTGGACTGGATCAGCTTTAAAGGTGCAGTAGGTGATTGTCTTTAGAAACATTTTTTGTTGTGCTGGTCTTCACATTCCAATAGTAAGGATTAAAGTAAATGATCTAAATGTGTTTTATGTATTTTTATATTTTGGGTAAGGCATAAAACTAAAAAATGTTCATCCAATTAAATAGCCGGGCCGACATTTCTCATAATTCCGATAAGTAGCTCAATCTGTCAGCAAATGCAAATTTGAACAACTGTGCAACCTTTTGTAAGCAGCTCTGCAGTTTGTGCATTGCACGTTCAAAAGAGAGCGAAAGCACACGCGATCGGTAAAAACATGAATCAAAACTTTTTAAAAACCTGAATCAATATTAGAATTACCACTGCATGCTAGAGAAAGGATGACACCATGGCTGAAGGATTTCTTTTAGACAGGTAATGTTCTGTTTTAAAACTATTTTAGCTTTACGCAAAGCTGATGTAACGTTAGATGTTGTTGCAAATTTATTATATACGCACAGAATTGCGTATATAAGTGTTGTTCAGCCACTAAAATCTTCCAATAAAAGATTGATGCGTCTATTTTCAGTTTCATAAGGTCCTTTAACAGCATCGATAATATAGATTTATATTTAGTTAACAAACAAAAAAGTCAGTTAATATCGCTATTCTGCCTAGCCTGCTTTACTGAGCTGAAGTTGCTTTTATATTGACATTGGGTCATTTTTAAACAATGACAACCTTTGACACGCCCCTATATTGTTTACCATGCTGCTCTGAATATATTCGCTCTAAAATAGCAATTTCTGCACACTGCCGGTCAACCACTAAGCAGTCGCTTTAGGATAAAGCATCTTAGAGTGAGACCAGCGATCCTTGCATGCATGAAATATTGCACATTATGACACATTTTGCTTGCTACACAACTGAAAACATGCTAGATATAATATAGTTTTACGTTGGTAAAAGTACTGTAAAGTTTCCTAACTGGCAAATGACATGATCAAGTGCAGAGGTGGGGGCCATATGCGACCCGTTGAACACTTTCATCCGGCCCGCAAGTGAGTTTTTAAAATGCTGCTTCTGAGTAACGGTTTGGGTCAGAATTAGTCAATTAATGATGCAATTACAAGTAAACGCCATGTGATGGTAGTATTGCATGCAGTACAGTTAGCGCAACCAGTAGAATTAAAACACACTCTTGGATATTAAAATGCACTTGACCGTTAAAGCCTCTTTTGAATGGTTTACTAACGGCTGCGAGGGTTTTGCGTGCTGCTTATGCCCCCTGCACGCCTCGCGTTTTAACCGCCTGCTGCGCCTCGCGTTTTTGCCGTAGCAGACTCCAGACTTTGACACTCTTGTGAAGAGAGGGGACCAGGCTCTATATTCACATTAACACACTCATAATAACATGACTTGGAATAACAAAGACTAAGATTCTTCTTCCGTTTTATCTCATAGTTTTATGATTGATACGAGCATATTTATAAAAGCTAAAATTAGATTGTTGTACATTTGACTTCAATTATATATTAATTGCGGGTTAAATGTGTTAATTTTTGTCATAGAATGTATTTCCCATGCATACATCCACTTAAAAAAGTTCTTTTATCAAAGATTTGTGGTTTCATCAAGTGTTATGATGATTGATCTGTATATTCTAAAAGCAGTGCAAACTAGATTATTGTCAATTTGACTGAATAATAATATTTAAGAATTATTTTTAGTGTGTTAATATGAGATTTTTTCTATCAGACATTACCTTTTCTATTCTCCACTGTAAAAACATTACATTATTATTATTATTATTATTATTATTATATTATATAAGGGATTATTTTTATTATTTTATAATGATTAATAAGTGATGATGAATATAAATAGCAGTGCAAATTAATTTGAATTGTAAATTTGACTTAATAATATTAAAAAAACATCTGTTTTGTGTTAATGTGACATGTTTCTGTCTGATATTACATGTTTCATCCATACTGCCACTATAAATAAAAGTTATTTATTTAAGGATTTGACATGTGGCCCTTCACTTGGTTTGCAAAACTTAATGTGGCCCTCGGGTCTAATAAGTTTGCCCACCACTGATCTAGTGGGTCTCTGTCATCTTGAAGGTGAAACGTTCATGATTTCAGGAGGCGTGGCTTTGGACAGCAGGGGAGGGGACTGTGTTTTCAAAGACATTATGCTAAACGGTTAGCATTTTGGCAGATCACCTACTGCACCTTTAATTGTATCTGTGTATACAAATGTGATGAACATTATACAGTGCTGTTTTACATTTGATTATTAAATTAGTGTATCTGAATGCTGTTAGACTTCCAGCAAATCATAAAGCACTGTGTATTTTATTTGTACATTATTATTGCATTACCTGTATATATCAATGGTTAGTTATATTTTATGTAGATGTGCTTCCTTGCAAATTTATCCAAATGTATATAAAAATGATGATTTCCTTTCGAACAGACCTATTAATTTCACCTGGTGAAGTTATACTCCATTTCGCAATGTATATTATTGGAAAATAAAATAAGCTAATGTAAGTTTCTCTAATATCATGCAGACCTAGTAATAAGCTGCACAGAAATAAAGATGAATTGAATAAAAGCATACACAGCATGAAATTAAACTAAAGGTAACATTGCTGATGGATGTGTTCTCACTTTTATCATGTACTCGATTCTGCTGTGGGAATGTTTCTCGATCACAGACTCGATCCAGATCAGTGGCTTTACCTGTGAACACGCAACAAAAATGTAACTGCATTAGAATCAAACATCAGGATCAATGACAAAATAAACAAACCAAAACAGCTAATGGTAGTTTACTTTAATAATAATTATTTAATTATTATTTTAATTAATTTAATTAATTATTATATTAGGTTAACTAGGCAAGTTTTTGGACAAAAGTAGTTTGTTCTGTAGACAGTGGGATAAATATAAATATTAGCAATTTTTAAATAAGGTCAAGAATCTTGGTGTGATTCTGGAGTGAGATTTGAGTTTCAGTAGTCATGTCAAAGCAGTCAGTAAATCAGCATACTATCATCTCAAAAACATTGCAAGAATTAGATGCTTCGTCTCCAGTGAAAACTTGTTCATGCTTTTATCAGCAGCAGGGTGGATTACTGTAATAGACTCCTCAGTGGCCTTCCCAAAGACAGTCAAGACAGTTACAGCTCATCCAGAACGCTGCAGCCAGAATTCTGACCAGAACCAGAAAATCAGAGCACATCACACCTGTCCTCAGGTCTCTACACTGGCTTCCAGTTACATTCAGAATAGATTTTAAAGTATTAATACTTGTCTATAAATCCCTATATGGCCTAGGACCCAAATACATTACAGATATGCTGACTGAATACAAACCCAACAGATCACTCAGATCATTAGGATCAAGTAAATTAGATATGCCAAGAAGAGTTCAGTCAAAGCAGGGTGAATCATCCTTCAGCTACTAACAGCGCCCCTCGCTGCTGGAATCAGCTTCCAGAAATGATCAGATGTGCTCCAACATTAGGCACGTTCACATCAAGACTGAAAACACATCTGTTTAGCTGTGCCTTTACTGAATGAGCTCTGTGCTGCGTCCGACAGATCACACTATTATGTCTTTCTTTTCTTTTTCGTTTAACACATTTTAATCTGTTTTTAATCATTTTTATTTTCTTTTATTCTCATTTACGTAAAGCCCTTTGAATTACCATTGTGTAAGAAATGTGCTATATAAATAAACATGCCTTGCCTTGTCTTAAATAAAAAAAAAAAAAATCCAGCCAAACAAAAAGAAATAAGACTTTCTCCAGAAGAAAAATATAAGAAAAATATTATAATATAATGGGGTATATGCCGAGCTAATGTGTTTCCCATGCTGATACACTTCCGGTGACCTGTTATCATGATTTTTTTCCATTTTATATGGTTCCTTTTAAAGAATCGATGTTCGAATTCAAATACAATCAGTTACACAGACTTTGGCATTCATTTAGTTGCTCAAGCGTAAAACGAGACAAAAAGCCGTTTACTCGCACGCGCCCATCAGAATCGGCAGGCTAGCGCAGAAGCTCCATTGAATATACTGGGGTAAAATAAAGGCTCATATTATAAAGACTTGGTGGGGAAAATGTAATTTAATGCAGTGCTTCTTGTACAATCTGAGAACCACTTTATATCAGATATCACTCTGCTAGTGGAGATCGCAGATTTTTAAAGAAATCAGGACTTAAACGCGCCGATTTTGCAATGGCATTGAGTTCACTGGAAGCGATGAACCCAGGTTACTGGCAAATTGAAAGTCCTATTAGCATGCTTCGGCATATACCCCATTGGAAATACTGTGAATTATTTTCTTTTTATGGTAAACATCACTTGGAAAATATCTTAAAAAGAATATAAATTTTTAATAATAAAAAATATATGTTTTTTATAATAAATATAATCATTTTGTCTTCTACTGTATGTACAGTAATTTCATTACGCTGCCAATTTACAGTCAATGTTTTATTTCCAATATCACTAAATAAGTCAGAAAAAGACTCACCAGCCAGCAAAATTTACTTCACAATTTCATTAGAAATTCATTTGATTACAAAATCAGACAAATTATAAGTATACAGCCCTGTAATTAAAAAAATAAATAAATAAATAAACAGACTTTAAAGCTATGCAAGCAATGCACTGTCTAGAGATGTAGTGGCAAAGCAATAAAACGATTGTTAAGATTTTTTCAGAAATTCATCACTACCATTCCAAGTAACACAAAACTGTTTACCTGTGACAAAAAAAGAACCTTTGAAGGACTAAATGTCCCCTATTTTTCATGATTTTAGTAAGAGTGGATGGTTTTAAACACTCACATGTGTGTTGAGGCGGTAGGACATCAGCTCAAACTCTCCATCGGGAGGAATAAAGGAGATGGTGCGATCGTTCTCAAATCGAGATAGACGCACACACTGATGAAACTTCACATCCTCTAACTCCACCGACTTACTCTTACCACCTGAAGAAAAGACATGCATGAACAATTAAAAAAATATACACACTTCAGCACACCTTTTCCCATAACTATAACATAAAACTGCATATTTACAGATACAAACTGTGCCAGATTTCAACAGAACACTAGCATATACAGTTAAAGTCACAATTATTCGCCCTCCTGTGAATTTTCTTTTTTAATTATTTCCCAATCAATGTTTAACAGAGCGAGGAATTTTTCACAGAATTTCCTATAATATTTTTTCCTCTGGGGAAAGTCATATTTGTTTTATTTCGGCAAGAAGAAAAGCAGTTTTAATTTTTTTTTAAACCATTTTAAGGTAAATATTATTTGCCCCCTGAAGTGATATTTGTTTATGATAGTCTACAGAACAAACCACTGTTATACAATGACTTGCCTAATTACCATAACCTGCCTAATTAACCTAGTTAAGCCTTTATGTGCTGTCATCATGGCAAAGATAAAAGAAATCAGTTACTAGAAATTAGTTTTTAAAACTATTTTCTTTAAAAATGTGTTGAAATAAAAATATACTAGGCTAATAATTCAGGAGGGCTAATAATTCTGATTATAACTGTACATGAGCAGGAGTTGTTAAATGCATTAAATAACAGCTGCACAACTGATTTTAAAGCCTCTTTCTATGATGCATATAGAAAAAGAAAATAATTAAAATAGACTCACGGCCAGTGTTCTCGAACAAAACCTTGTCATTCAAACCCAAACGCAGCTCTGGCATCCCTGAGAGAAACACTCTCATCTTAATGGAGCCGACAATCTCACTGCGAAGGACATTCCCATTCGCACTGACCTGGAGGGAAAGTAAACAAACAAACAAACACTAAGAGTCATGTAATCTAATGGATTCATATGATTACTACTATTATTACTTTTATTATTTAAAGTTCATTTAATTTCCTGTTAAGCAATATCAGGATTGAATTATTGCAGAAAATCAATGTATATATCACTACAAAACACCACAAAATACAAAAGCAAAAAATAAATAAAACAAAAACTGAAAACAATAGGTATAAAAACAAAAGGTAGATGAAGCATATAATTATGTCTAATTCCTTTATTATTATTATTATTATTAATAATAATAATAATAAGAGCCAAACATTTTTAACAAACAGACAAATAAATGATCAAACATTAATTACAGTTGGTAGAAAAAGCATGTGAACCCTTTGGGATTACTTTATTATTTCCATTTCGATTATTTTGTCATAAATGTGTTCTGGTCTTCATGTAAATCACAACAATGAAAAAAAACAGAGAGCTAAAACCAATACCACTCAAAAATGATATGTTTTCATTAAACACCACATGCTAGCATTCACAGTGCAGGGTGGAAAAAGTATGTGAATCTTTGGGGTTAATAACTGGTTGACCCTCTTTTGGCAGCAATAACTTAACCAAACGTTTCCTGTAGTTGCAGATCAGACCTGCACAACGGTCAGGAGGAATTTTGGACCATTCCGCATTACAAAACGGTTTAATTTCAGCAATATTCTTGAGATGTCTGATGTGAATGGCTCTGTTGTTGATGTGAATCACTGTATATAGTGCGGGAGCAGTCGCGCGGTCTTACAATATCGCTTCCAAGCAAGCGAGCACGCACGCATCCACGTGTGTGTGTGTGTCTCTCTCTCATTCATACACACACACATAGAGAGAGAGAGAGCGAGAGAGAGAGAGAGAGAGAGAGAGAGAGAGAGAGAGAGAGAGAGAGAGAGAGAGAGAGAGAGAGAGAGAGAGAGAACCAAGCGACACACAGACAGCATGCTCTCTTATTTACATGCACGCACGCACACACACACACACACTGCAGGTGACTTGGTGCGTAACTCGAAATCTTACCTCACCTCCCCACTGTCCCGTCATGACAATCACGCATACTCATTTGTAGGTATTAGATAAATAACATTATTATTTAATACTTTTATCCTACTTAAGTGAATTGTTTTTATGACGGTATAACGGTATTAGAACTGACACCGCTGCTATTTTTAGATCCCGTGGTATACAATATAACCTTATTACCGCCCAACCCTTATCGACACTGACAATGGTGTTCAGTCAAAAAATATCGATACCGTTTTTATCGCCCAGACCTACATTCACTTTTAGCATTTAATGAACTTTTGTGTTGTTTTACATAGATCTTTTCTATTACAGCAAAATAAAGTGTAGCACAATAATTCCATTATGTCAACAACTGTATTTAACACTACTATTCAAACTTCTGACTTTCGATTAATCACCCCATGCCTCTTGATATGGCTGTTCAAACATGCTCTTCCAGCTAAATTTGTTAAAGTGTTAAGCCTTCTACAAAAACAGCAGGTTCATCACCTTACACGTTCACAATGCCATGGATGTTCCTGCTTATCCTGTTTGTTATGATGGATTCCTGTGTTTATTTTCAGAATGTCTGCAGACATCTAAGAACCGTGGTGCTTCTAAAAACATACCAGGAGGTTAACGGACTCGATGACGTCCAGGAAAACCTCGTTCTTCCTGTACTTGATGCCCTCTGACCTCCAGGACACGGCGTTAGTGACGGTTGCAGGGGGTCGAGGAGCTCCCGTGTCCAACTTATGACCTTCCTGCGTGATGTATCTGTGTATCGACACACAATGAGGACAGCATAATAAACACATGGCTGGAAGTCATTGAAAATAGACGTTTACAGCAGTTATGACTGAATGATACCTGCTGGGTTATAGAAAGGCCTGCAGTTGTTTCTGTGCTAAGAAATTCAATCAATGATGCACTGAAATTTCTTTGTATCTTGTGATGTTTCTAATGTCCAGGCTGATTTAATCAGTTAAATGTACAGATATATGCACAGGCGTAGCATAGAGCTGCACAATTAATCGTTAAAAGATTGCGATCTGTTTCGACCCCCTAGACCAGGGATGTCCACACTCGATCCTGGAGGGCCTGTGTCCAGGAGAGTTTAGCTCCAACCCTAATCAAACACACCTGAAACAGCTAATAAAGCTCTTATTAGGTGTACTAGAAACTTCCAGGCAGGTGTGTTGAAGCAAGTTGGAGCTAAGATCAGCAGGACACCGGCCCTCCAGGACTGACTTTGGACACCCCTGCCCTAGATGATCTTAATTTAGCATTTCTACGATTCCACCAATCATATTTTCAAGTTCAGGAGAGAAGGCGGCTGCACGAGTCTTTTCATTGTTTCACATACGTTGCTCAGCGACATGGATCCCTCCAAATGATAATAAAATAGTCACATACTGTATCTATAAGGTATAATTCATCCACAAAATTTCCTTTCTGTCTTCATATAATGATGTATTCGCGGCCGGGAAATCACACGTGACGTGAGCTGCTGACCGAGAGGGCGGGTGCGCGGCTGCGCGTGCTACTTGAAAGACGCACGTGCGTCTACTTTAGTGAACAGAACCTGCGCAGGCTGCGAGTAACAGGTACTACAGTTGTAAATAATATTCAGTTTGTGGCACAGAGTGATCGTTTGGGAGCCGCGTGTGACGTATGATCAGCACTTAGCAGTCAAAACGAAACCGGAAGTGTGCACTTCATTTAAATGATCATATCACATTTTAGAGTTATGATTACGACAAGCATTTGATGTTTTTTCTTTCATAGTGAACCCACAGTTTTGCATGAAAATAAATGTTTACAATGTCAGTATAACTACTCTAGCCTATATTGTTGAATATAATCTGATAATGACAAATGATTTTACCAGTGAATAAAATGGTCTTATAATGTTGTCAACGACAGATTGCAAGCATATATCTCAAACATAATAATTAAACATCAGAATTATTATAAGTAGAAAGGAATTATTTATAGAAGCCAGTAGACTGACACATAATATTATTATTGTTGTTGTTTTACCATATGTTTGAGAAAAAATACTAATTCTATATTTACAGAATCGTGAGAGAATCGTGATCTTTATTTAAAGCAAAAAAATATATAAAAATTGCGATTCTCATTTTAGCCAGAATCGTGCAGCTCTAGCGTAGCATGACCTGTGTTAGGAGCCAGATGCAAAAATGAGAGAAAAATGTGATAAAAATGCATCACATTAAGTTTTTTTTTTTTTTTTTTATGTTGTCCTATAGTTGTACTTTTTGTTTGCATTTTGTTTTTTGTTTTTTTTGGTATACCTTGGGTTTTGAGTTTTGAACTGGTAGGACGAATTTAGAGTGGATATAGACGGACGGACGGACGGACACACAGATAGATAGATAGAAAGAATGGATGGATGGTTTCCGCTTCCATGGCAGGCCGCCACACCAAAATTCATCCCGCCATGGCTACATTTACAGCATCTCATTTAAAACATTCAGTCGTTGTTGTTTTTTAATAGTGGGTTGTAATCGCACCAAAATGCATTAAAAGGTAAGTGAATAATTCAGTGTGAACTTTTCTGTAACCATAGTGCTGTGTGTTCTTTGTTTAACCCTTTAAGGTGGCACGCTAACTGACTGGCGCGTGAGGCCAGCAAACACGATGTAGCTTTCAGTTAAGATGAACACAGTTTCTATAATTATACTTTATAGATAAAGGTCTAAGGCTCTGCATTTAATGACTTTATCTTGCTGGAGTTTAAAGCCGTTTCACTTCACTTCAGGACGCATTAATGCTGCTCTGTAGGTCTATTGGGAACATTCATAAATATTCCTAGCAAATCTAATAAATGTTGGAGACTTACTCGTTCCATAAAAGCACTAAATCGCACTTCGGCAGCGTTTATTTGAGAACACACAAGAAGATCTGCGCTTGACGAAATCGGCGCGCAAGCAAAGAGATTTGCATGCTCATATTACATAAATGCAATCTCGATTTGTAATACTGCGCTCACAACATTTGTCATTGAAATAACACCATAGGTAGTTTGTAAATCTGTGCAAAAAAACAAAAAACAAAAAAACAAAGGGCCTGCCGCCACAGCTGGAAAAAATCCTAGAGGAAACACTGGGATGGATGGATGGATGGATGGATGGAAGGATAGATAGATGGAACATTATATAGAACGATAGATATATAGAAGGATAGACAGAAGGAAAGAACATTAGACAGAACAATAGATCTATAAATGGAATGCTAGATGGAACCATAGAACATATAGATAAAACAACAGATAAATAGATAGATAGATAGATAGATAGATAGATAGATAGATAGATAGATAGATAGATAGATAGATAGATAGATAGATAGATAGATAGATAGATAGATAGATAGATAGATAGATAGATAGATAGATAGATAGATAGATAGATAGATAGATAGAGACAAAAGGACAGAACACTAGATAGAACAATAGATCTATAGATGGAACGCTAGATGGAACGCTAGATAGAGCCATAGAACAATAGATAGATAAAACAACAGATAGAATGATAGAAAGAAAGATAAATAGAACAATAGACAGAACCATAGAACGATAGATGAATAGAACGACAAATAGAATGAGAGATAGAACGACAGAACCAGAGAAGGATATAAAGATAGATAGATGGAAGGACAGAACACTAGACAGAACGGTAGATCTATAGATGGAAGGCTAGATGGAATGATAGATGGAATAATAGATGGAACGATAGATGGAGCCATAGAACAATAGACAGATTAAACAACAGATAGACAGAACAATAGATAGAATGAGAGAAAGAAGGAAAAAACAATACATAGAATGACAGATAGAACGGCGGAACCACAGGACAATATATAAAAGGATAAAATGAAGGATAGATAGAACGCTACAGAGAACACTAGATAGAAGGATACAACGATAGACAGAATGCAAGACAAGGACAAAAGGATAAATAGAAGGATAGATAGAAAGACAAACAGAACGATAGATCGGTCAACAGATATTTAAATGACAGCAGTAAATAAGAATTAGAATATCTGCCCAGGGTTTAGAGAGACTAGATGCTAAACTGACCATTTAAGACACTGAGAAAAAAATAAAGCTGCAATGGATATTATCATGAGAAACGTAAAGTGTTTTGACCACCGAAGCAAAAGCATGACAGAAGCACAAACTCACTCCTGGAGGATCTTGCTGTCAGTAGTTTGAGGATATCCGAAATCCATGAGTTCATCCAGCAGCTCATAGATAATGACAAAGTTATCTCTGATACTCTCCTCCTCCAGCTCCTTAAAGTACTCAGAGAAAACCTGAAAAAGCACATCAAATAACCATCAGTGAATAAAACAAGTGATCATGAGCACACTTACTGCACATAAACCATGTAGAAGTATTAAAATGTGTTTAAGGCAAAAAAGGTTGCAATAAGGTTACCACCTCTGCCTTGTTTTGAGTCAGAAAAAAAACTGATATTTTAAATTAGAAAATTAATTAATTAATTAATTAATTAATTAATTAATTAATTAATTAATTAATTAATTAATTAAGGTAAATGCAATTTTTCCGACTTGTTTTGGTTACAGCTGTGAGCAATAAACTCTAAAATACAAGTTCATGACTTATAATTGTACAATTTCCAAAATATATTTATTTTTCGTTTCCAGCACAAAACAAAAACATAAAAAGGTATTTTATATAAGTGTGACTTCCCCCCCACTTCAATCTATCCTGTGGTGAAAATAAGATTTCTTCAGCGTCAGAACTTAATTAGCAGAAGTGTTTGGGGGTGGGGGGGGGGGGTCCTCCTCACACCAGTGTGCAGCATCCACTTGACTGATGCAATGGCAGCCACAGGACATGGAGCCAGTGCGCTCACCACACACCAGCTATAGGTGAGGAGAGACAGTGATAGAGCCAATTCTGTGGATGGGGAAGATTGGGAGGCCATGATAGTTAAAGGTCAATGGGGGGAATTTGGCCAGGACACCGGGGTTACACCCCTGCACTTTACGAGAAGTGCCATGAGACTTTTAATAACCACAAAGTCAGGACCACAGGTTAACATTTCAATGTCCCACTGACAGCATGAGCTTGTCTCACTAACACCACTTCCAATAGCAACATGGTTTCCCAAGTGGTCTCCCATCCAGGTTCTGACCAGGCTCAGCCCAGCTTAGCTTCAGTGAGTAACCAGTCTTGGGCTGCAGGTTGATATGGCTTTGGCAATGATGAATGTAAATGCAATGAACAAGTGCAACAGATGTACAAACCTGAACAATTTTGTACAGGAAAGAAAAAACCAGGGAGACACAAGCGTTCTTTTTGGATGTTGCAACAACTGTTTGTCATTAGTTAAGAGAAACAATCATATAAGAGAGACAAACCAAAACAATTATTAAGAAATTCTAAAATTATTATATTGTAAAAAACAAAGAACTTATAAACAACCAATCATTCTTGTAAAACTCTGATCTTGCATTCGAAGGTGAGTGTGAAGGATACGGTAGAGGTTGTTGTGTTTAATCCACATGAAGCGCACTCCACCGTGAGCCAGGATGGGTGAGAGTGTGCCCTCCTCCTCTTTGTCCATCAGCAGAGTCATAAAATGCTCAATCTCGGACATGTCCACATCCCCGCGGTAATTACGGCAGATCAGGACCTGAAACACACACAATTTTAACATAGATTTTCTACTAAATGAGATTCTTTTTTATGCATGTTCCAAATATAACCATAATAACCAAGTTTTTACAGGAATCATGCAAAAAAAGAAACTTGTGTAATGCCTTATTAGCAGTACAGCAATTACCAGCAATTAAAAATATTCAGCTAGGGGGCCTATTATGAATTATCTGCCATCTAATTTACATTAAAGGAAGATCTGTATTTGAATAAGCATTCCTTTAATTAAAATATCGGTTAACTCATGAAATGTTAGGTAGATCGGGGTGAGAGGCAAATAGCTAGGTCAATGGGTTTATGGTTGGCTGAGAATCTGGCTCATATTATTCATTTATTTATGTTGTAATTATTCATTTATTATTATTCTTTATATATATATATATATATACACACACATATATATATATATACACACACATATATATATATATATGCAAAAATGATGCAAAACTGACCCTATGTATAGATTATGTATCAAATTTTGCTCTACGAATCTGAAAAATCAGTCTTTAAAGGCTCAAATGAAGTTCTGTATGATAACTGAGACCTTCATCTGGCTTGTATGATGCGCTTTGCGATAAAACCTAGATGTTTATTGATGACAACAAAAAACAAACTGATTATTATTATTGCTTTCTGCAAATGTTACTACACAAAAAATATTAAAGGGAGAGTTCACAAAAAAGGACAATTCTGTCATCATTTATTCATCCTCCACTTGCTCCAAATCTTTTTGAGTTTTTTTCTACTGTTGATCACAAAGGAAGATATTCTGACGAATGTTGGGAAAAAACTAACATTAACTTCCATAGAGGGGCGTCAAAGTAACGCATGGGGTAGCACAATCGCCAAACCGCAAGAAAGTCACTGGTTCGAGCCTCAGCTGGGTCAGTTGGCATTTCTGTGTGGAGTTTGCATGTTCATGTGGATTTCCTCCGGGAGCTCCAGCATCCCCCACAAGTCCAAAGACATGCGCTATAGCTGAATTGAGTAAGCTTAATTGTCCATAGTGTGTGTGTGTGTGTGAATGAGTGTGTATGGGTGTTTCCCAGTGATTGGTTGCAGCTGGAAGGGCATCCGCTGCATGAAACATATGCTGGATAAGTTGGTGGTACATTCCACTGTGGACCCCAGATTAATAAAGGAACTAAGCCAGGGGTGTCCAAACTCGGTCCTGGAGGGTCGGTGTCCTGGAGAGCTAAGGTCCAACTCTAATCAAACACACCTGAATCAGCAAATCAAGTTCTTACAAGATATACTAGAAAATTCCTGGCAGGTGTGCTAAGGCAAGTAGGAGCTAAACTCAGCACTACATCGGCCCTCCAGGACTCAGTTTGGACACCCCGGGACTAAGCTGAAAAGAAAAAGAACGAATGACTTACATAGAATTTTTTGGTTTCTATTACGGATGTCAATAGCTGCTTTTTTCCAACATTCTTCAAAATATCTTAAGATATTCAAAAATGCATAACAGTTTAGATCCTAATGAGTGTGAGTAAATGGTGAGGGAATTTTAAAGTGACAAATGAACAATATCATTCTGTATTATGATTAAATCCCAATCTGGAGACAGAAAATTATGTGAACAAGTACCTTTTTAGTCAAAGGTATATTTTATTTTTAGTCAAAAGCCAATCCATACTGAAAGCATATGTTAATAATAACAACAAACACATGTTCCAAGAGTAAATTCAACAGTAATACAATTGACTTAATTTAATTAAATAATACATAACTGATAAACGCATTCAGCACTTTTAGACCAGAAGAAACATGTTTACTGGCTGATATAAAATGTTTAAACGTGTCTCTCGCTGATGTTTGACGTGGATTAGCTTTAGCGTCGTGTGCTAGTGAACCGTTATCTTACCTTCCCCTTCAGGTCTAACACATAAACAGCGCTGGCCGACATGTTTGCACCCTTTTCGACCGCACTTTCGTTGATCTACGCGGCTCCACTCAGTTCTGAGGCATTTGTTAGTTTAATAAAGAGCTGTCATCGGGTTTACACGCTCATAGAAAACCCAACATCATCAAACTGCGGATGGGAGATTTTGAGGAACCGGGCGGCGCTGCTAGTGCGATGAGAGTGACTGTAGCCCCATCTGCCGCTCTGGGTGAAGGGGGAACTGCAGTGGCGCTATAGATTCTAATGGCATAAACACGGTACTGACTTCATAAAATCATCATAAATAAATAAATAAATCTCTTACTGAGTTATGGTACATATAACATGCTTTTTGTGTGTTCAATTTAAAAAATCATAAGTTTAGAACCAATTTAGTGAGTAAATAAGGAATTTTTTTTTGCCAAACCATACCTTTAAGGCAAGAAACTGCAAGTGAATATGATTTATCACAAAGTTACAATCATACTTCCATAGCAGATTGATTACATTAAATCACTCATTATCATGTCATAAGGCGTGAATCATGTCAGACTGGTTTCTTGAACATGACAATGAGTTCACTGTACTCAAATGGCCTCCACCGTCACCAGAACTCAATCCAATAGAGCACCTTTGGGATGTGGTGGAACGAGGGATTCACATCATGGATGTGCAGCTGACAAATCTGCAGCAACTGAGTGATGCTATCATGTCAATATGGAGCAAAATCTCTGAGGAATATTTCCAGAATCTTGTTGAATCTATGCAACGAAGAATTAAAGAATTTCTGAAGGCAAAAGTGGGTCCAACCCGGTAATAGTAAGGTGTACCTAATAAAGTGGCCAGTGAGTGTACATTTCCAGCACAAAAAGACATATAGAGCAAAGGGAATTTTATAGATTTTTGGAATTTCGTTTTTAATCTCTCCTTAATTCAGAAAATGTTGTGAACAGCCACAATTAAAATCTTATTTTCGTAGAATCAAATCGTAATGTTTAAGCTAATTATTTAGGATCAAATACCTCTGTAAAAACCTTCAGAATAGAGCTAGTTTGGTCTCTGTAAGAGCTGCTAAAAATGGTAGACTTAATTGCAAAAGCATAATCAGAACAAGATATTAAATGTCTGATTTTAGGGTTTGAAGGTTATGTAGTATCTTATTCAGGTATGTTACATATTTCTCATTTCTAAGTGAATAAGTGAGGCTGCAGGAGTGCAAAGTATTGCTAAAATGATCCAAACTGACTCCATGTATAGATTATGTATCAAATTTCTCTCCTTGAATCTGAATCATTATTTAAAGGCTCAAATAAAGTACTGTATGGTAACCTTTGGTAATTTATGAGCTTTATTTATTTGATTTTAGATCCTCAAATAAGCATTTACTTTTAGGTAATATTCTGGCTTATATGATACTTCGCAATTATCACTAGGATAAAACTTTTTTTTTTTTTTAAGTCAGAATTATTAGCCGCCATGTTTATTTTTTCCCCAATTTCTGTTTAACGGAGGGAAGATTTTTTCAACACATTTCTACACATAACAGTTTTACCAACTTATTTCTAATAACTGATTTATTTTATCTTTGTCATGATGACAGTAAATAATATTTTACTTGATATTTTTCAAGACACTTCTATACAGCTTAAAGTGACATTTAAAGGCTTAACTAGGTTAATATGGTGAAATAGGCAGGTTAGGGTAATTAGACAAGTTATTGTATAACGATGGTTTGTTCTGTAATTATAGAAAAAAAATTAGCTTAAAGGGGCTACCAATTTTGACCCAAAATTGTTTTTTTTTATTTTAAATTAAAAACTGCTTTTATTCTAGCCGAAATAAAACAAAGAAGACTTTCTCCAGAAGAAAAGATATTATCAGACATACTGTGGAAATTTTCTTGCTCTGTTAAGCATCATTTGGGAAATATTAAAAAAAGAAAAAAAAATCAAAAGGGGGCTAATAATTCTGACTTTAACCAACTGTGAGTGTGTGTGTGTGTGTGTATATATATATATATATATATATATATTTTTTTTTTTTTATTATTATTTTTTTTTTAATATTTTGTGTAATATTAATATTTTGGGCCTTAATAATCAGGGGGTGTAGTGGCAATTTTCTTTAAAGAGGCGCTCTCTGTGGTCAAGAAACAAAGTCTTATGATGTCTTATAAGTCTTAAAGATGTCTTTTCAAAGTTTTATTCTTTGCAAAGAAGGTCACAGTCATACAGCAACAACAGTTTCTGCAGAGTGAGACACAGAAGTCAAGTGTGTTCACCCTTTTATCTGGTTTTTACTGCTTACAAGGTCAAATTCTAATAATGCCCATTCTGACGACAGTTTCTACAGAATGAGACACTGAAGCAAAGTGTGTTCACTGTTCTATCTAGTTTGTACTGCTTGCAAGGTCAAATCCTAATAAGGCCCATTCTCTACGTGCATCAAGTGCTCCGCTGTTTCTGCTGTAAGTTTCCACTACACATGTTTATCTAAAAATGAATTTCCATTTCATTCTATTTATCCTGATATAAATATATATATATATATATATATATATATATATATATATATATATATATATATATATATATATATATATATATATATATATATATATATATATATATATATAGGATAATTAGCCCCCTGATTATTAAGGCCCAAAATATTAATATTACACAAAATATTAAAGGGATGGTTCATCCAAAAAGGAAAATTCTGTCATAATTTAATCCTCCTCCACTTGTTCCAATCCTGTTTGAGTTTCTTTCTTCTCCTGAACCCATAGGAAACAATTCTGAAGAATGTCAGAAAATCTTATTTATGTATAATAAAATCTATATAGCAAAGTATTTATGATTCAACCCCTCTGTAAATACCTTCAGATTAGAGCTGGTTTAATCTCAGTAAGAGCTGCAGAAATGTAGATTTATGAGTAAATAAAACTTTTGAGAAAACAGCTTTTAAAAATATGTATTGTAAAATAAAATTCAGAAACATTGATTGTGACGTGGCATAAATATTGTGGATGTTTTCTTTGTATTAAACTTTGAGAAAAAAACACTATGAATAGCCAAAAAGTTCAAAAATTGAAAGTGTGTGAAAAACTGAAGTGTGTGAAGTTTCTACCTTAACCGAAATCATTTTCAATAGCTTGGATAATTAAACATAGAAATGTATGTGGACCTTAATCTGAAGTAGGGTTGTCCTAAGAGTGCATAAATAATACTGAAGTGACTGTCATATAATGTTGTACACTTGTAAAACTAGACCAAACCAAATAAAGGGAGACACTGCAAGTAAAAAACTTTTAATGCACACAGCACAATTTCTAAAACAACAGAAAGTATTTTAAAAGTGTGTTAACGAAACTAAAATAAGTTGATGTAATTCATTAACTCAGTAATTTGCAACTAGATATTGCTAATTATTTTTAATGAGAATGTTAACAATATATGTGAAATGATGTGCTGGAGGTGCAATGTTCAAGTCTGCTTGAACAGTGGGTGTGGCTTGTTTTTTCTACTGCAAGCTGATTGGATGTAGTAAAATAGGCACTTCATTCAGAACGATGTGGAAAAGGGTTTGGGTAGAGTTATTACAACCTAACAGACTCCGCCTGCTTACCATTTCTGTGTGTTGTCAAAACTGACAGCTGGTGGGGCGTGGTTAAGTATGTTAGCCCCACCCAATACCTCAGACTGATGCAATCTGAGAAAATAACTGAAAACAAACAGGAAGTGCATTTTCAGTTTTTAATTTTAGACTACAAGGGCCAACAACTTTTTTCTTTTAATGACATACACAGATGAATTGTTCAGCACAACATGAGCTAACAAAATCAATATGGTTAGTTTTGATTTCATTTGTACTCTAATGTTAAAGTGTGTGTTTCTCTCGGCAAACACTTTACCGTTATTATTTCATGTCTACGATGATTGGATATATATATATATATATATATATGCATTGCTTAGCATAATTGAGTACACCCCATTTTGAACATGAATATTTGTATCCATTTCTCGGTGAATATAGGCAATGCATTTTGGTGCATTTAAACAAAACAGATTTTTAAACAGATATATTTATTAAAATAATATTTTAATCACCAAACATATTTAGAAATTGAAAGAGGAAACAATAAACTCAAGCAAAAATGAGCAAAAAAAAAAAAAAACAGCATAAATAATTTCAACAAAATTTTATTTATTTTTTGCTTCTCTTGATTTTTCCTCTTTTTTTAAATTTGTATTTAATATTTTTCTGTATCAAATTTGACTGTACTAGTTTTTGGACCATTTTTGTAAGTTATTTTGTTAGATAAGCTTCACATTTGGCTTCATCTGTCAAATGATTTATTACAACAACTATGATTCAAGTGGACTTAAACAGCCACAAAACGACTTTCACTTAATTGGTAACCTATTTTGCCAACAGTCCTCAATCTTTTTTGTCAATTCTTATTGGAACTTGGGATCTTTTTTGTTATTTAAAGCCTATTACCATAGTTTTTTTTTTTTTTTGCCAAGAAAAAGCAAGTCAGTATTTTATTTTCTAATATCAACCACAAACTAATTCCAATGCACATTTTTTTTAGATTAGAAGATTATAAACTCAGCATTGTGACTCTAAATATATTATATGACAGCATTATTGTACTGTAGGCCTGTCACAATAATCAATATATAGACTTATCGCAAAACACATGGACATGAACTCATGGTCATTTTTGGTGATGCAACATATATTTCCCATACATAACACATCGCCATATCTTTCCTTTAATGGTTGTGAAGTAAGATTTAATCCAAATGTAGTAGCTGTTATTATTCAAACCCACATCACTACACCTTCAGAACACACATCAGCCGTCCAGAGGGTAACTGAACTCAACCCTGGCGTACAGTCACCCACCAATTGAAGCTTCAGCACTGAACTCCACTGAAGAGTGAGAGATGTTTGGGCAGGTATTGACCATGGTAAAAGTGACTGAATGGGGGACCAGCGTCAGCATCATCCAGACAGAGACCTGGCCAAAAATGAACAAACAGACCAGTCCATTAGCTGCTAAGGGTGTTTTGAGAGGTTTGCTTTATGTCCTTGTAATATATTCTATAGTATTGCTTTTGTTATTTGTTTTAGATTATTATATTACTACTTTAATGGGGTAAAGTTGGTTTTATATTGCCACATTCAACACTTTTGGTAGAACACTTTCTTGCCAGTCTACCCCAACAAAAACTGATTAAAGCATGAAATTAGCTATATTTGGCGACATTGATACTGACTGATTATTTATTTAGTAAAAAGTGAGGGCGATTGGAAATGTTTGTGGGCATTTTTTATTGTTGTTGTTATTTGTTTTTGACTTTTATAGATTACTATACTAATACTATATTGGGGTAAATTTGCACATGTGAACTTTCCCCTTAATATAATTTCATGAAAAGCATTCTTTGCTAATTTGATCTCATATTAGCAACCAACGACTATCACGGTACAACATTGTTCACGGTCAATTTAACAGTGCTAATGTTGTTTTTGAAGTCTTACCTGCATGTAGGAATGGGGAGTCAACTCCAAAAGAGTCGATTCCTGGACTCTCAATTGACCTACTGGAATCGACCTCAGGACAAGAATCGACTTCCAGAGTAGAGTCTCCTGAATGAAGCAGTTGCACGCTACTGTCATAACACTCATTCTTGAGCATGAAAAACACAGAAGGCACCCGCTTTGTATTCTTGCTGACACGTTTTACGCTTTTGCTTTTAAATTTCATGACCACTAATAAATAAAACTAATAAGTGAAGTTTGCTTTAATAGTTTTAAAGATGATCAGCCTGCGTTGTCAAGTTTGTCGTGTTATAAATGAAATATAGCATAACTGTTGTTGTGTGTGTGAATTTGGAGTGGATTGACGTCGAAGTTATGTTATTGTTTGCTGCTATAAGCTCAAGTAAAAATTTTAACCTATGCCAATTTCACACAAACAAATAAATAAAAAAATAAATAAAAACCCTAATCTTAATGAAAGTAGCCAAGATGTATTTATTGACAAAATCTGACAATATCTAAAAAACGTGAAGTTATTTCAACCCAATTCCGGGTGTAATAGAAACAAACCCAAATGCTGGGTTATTTTTCTATTTATTTTTTTTGGTCCTAAACGCAAATAATTTCATCTCTAATATTTAGACTATTCTTGTTTATTTTGTAGATAACTACAAAACATACATTACTATTAGATATGTACAATTTACACCAAACAAAATTAGTTTCTAAAAGTGTTCAAAAACAGGTCTGACTCACTCCTTTTCTTCTGGCATATGTTGTCCTATTAGCACATTCGTATTTCACTACAATGAACAAATTGCACAAAACAAACAGTGAAATCAAAAAGTAAAGCAAGACGCTATTTAAAAGTCATTAAATGTTTAAAAGTATTAATCACATTTACAAAAGCGAGAGCATATGCTTTAAAGCACAGTCTACTACGCTGCTTTTGTTTATTATTTTAGTTTTGTTATAAACTTTTTAAAGTTAAACATCTCGTGTTGGTGGTTTAAATATTTAATTGATCATTAAAATTAAATTGAAAATCTAACTATTTTGTTTATTGATCGGTTGGAGAGCTAGTGCACAGAAACTAAGAAGCAATCTCACGGCAATTCGTAACTTCTTGATTTAGTGGCTATTCGTATGAATTCGTACAATCTAATTCGTACACTTTAGTACGATTTGCTCATCACCCAAAGATGGTTGGGGTTAAGTGCCACGCCTCCTTTTTAAAATCGTACAATTTCGTATGACTGAACTCGTACGAATTAGCCACTAAACTGACAAAACGTAAAACACTTACGTTTCCTCGTGATATCTAGAAACTAATAACGGCTCTGTACTCAGTATTCAAGTATCAAACACTTATGTTAAGAATGATTTTAGGCTATTTTATGATTTTTTTTTAACGTTGTTTGGGCTCAATCGGAGTGTTTTTTTATTTGTTCAACTGCTACATCTTTCCATCAAGCATTTCAATAATAAATAAATAAATTGAATAATTAAATAAATTGAAGTATCTAAACTAGACAATTAAGTAAAAACTATAGGCTGATAACCATTTTATTTTGACCGCAGATGATTTAAACTGCTGATTTTGTCTGACCAGAGGAGAACTGCATGTATAAAGCGCGATATGATACGGCATGTTTAATCCTTGCGCTATTTTAAGTGAATGTAAACGGATTCGATAAGAGTTCACCGACTCCAAAATTAGAAGTCGCGAATCGGAGTCGACTCCAAAAAATCCAAAACCGAACATCCCTACTGGCATGGCATTTCACACCTAATATTCAAAGTAGCATGATAAACAATTAGGAAGCGTGTAATAAGTCATCACTAAACAAATGAGCGAATATAAAAACCAACTTTACCTCAAATACTACTATTACTATATATTTTTTTGTAGTTTGTATTTTTATAATTATTATTATTTATATTTAATTAGGAGTTAAAGGATTCGGTTGATATTTTCTTTCTAATATAGGCCCTACCACAACCTCTTTACAAAATGCAATTACATTCCCTTGTTTTTTATTAATTTAATTACACAGTGTAGTGAGTCAACGGATCGTTCCAGAACCGAACAAGCCACAGACCATGTTATCCTTAAAAGATTGGTTGGTGCCTACGAGTCTGAGATTGATTTCATTTTCAAAGCAATCCACAGGCACCCAGCAAAAGGCAAATCCACAGGATACCTAGCCAGTCAACATCACAGTTGCGTGTTAATTAACTTTACACCCTAAAACAATAAGAGGCTCTACAATCAAAAACCCACCAAACCGGTTTTTGAGAAGTACCTTTTGGTTCGCTTGTCCTTTGGCGTCTGCAAGGAATACACATTCTCAGGCAGACACAGAAGCGATCAGAAACGCTTCCAAAGTTTAATGGACATACAGTAAAACTGTGTTTATTTGAGTAATGTATGTTTGCTTTATGTTTCTGTAGGTTTTTGTGTGTACATGTTCCATGTGTTTAACAAAACTGTTATAGATAGTTCTTGAGTAATAGCCCTCAGCGACAAATGAAATCTACAGAATGTTTGTGAAATACTTCATGTTTGGTATCGATTGAAAGCTAGGAACATTTCAAATGCATTGGTTTATATAAAGAAACCATACTATGAAAAGTGTCGATGTTATAAGACTTTATTTTAACCACTATGCTATCAAAGCAGCATCCACACCAGGTGTCAACCCGGCCTCCTAGAGGGCAGAATTGGGGTGTGACTCCACCCCGCACCTTATCTGATTGGACAAGTATTGTGTAGACCCAGCCTCTACCAAAGCCTATAAAACTTTGAACAAAGGAATTTCATCGTCGTCTTTTGCCGGTCATCTTTGCCAGTTGTCACCGCCGTCGCTGCCCGGACGTCGCTCTTCTCGTGCTGTGGCCGTTACATCGCCTCGCCGGAAGCCTCGTTACATCACGCAGCAGACCGCGACCTTCACTTGCTGCCGGCTCGACCCCCGATCTGCTTGTGCAACCGCTTCAACAACAAGCCATCGGGTCAACACATCCAAACCCTGAAACTCATCCTAACTACAGGAACCCAGGAAGGACTTCGAACGCCGCCTTGTCCAACATCCGTATCCCTAGCAACCGACTAAGGAAACCCCTCTTCACCGACAAGGGAATTCCATCACGTCACTGAAGTTGCTACGCTGACCAATCAGCTTCGCCGGGATTTCCCTTTGGACCAGTCGAGGAAACCAAAAATTACATCAGAACGCAAGTAGCACAAACGAGGTTTCTATCCATTACTGAATCTGGTGTGAATTATGTTTAAGTAGTAAAGAATAACAAAATTCTCTGCTTTTATGGTTTCTCTCAGGTTGCAATGCTAAGAACTTAGCAAAGGCTAGAAGTTAAATCCACTCAGTCATAACTCTCCTCAAACTGCTTGTGAGTGTGTGTATGTATGTGCGTTTGTTTGTTTTACGTAACGTTAGATTAGTACTTTGTGTTGTAGAGTAGCAATAAACTTTTGTTTCGTTTTAAGATCCGTGTTGGTGTGTTGTGTGCTTTATAAGTTAATGCCTCAGCTTCAGATACTGCTACCTTGCTTATTAAATAATTAGATACTGTTTTTATATTGTTATTGTTGGCCACGTAATAATATAATACAGAATTGCTTTACACTAAACGTTCTATTTGCTGGACAAATACTAAAGTTAAGTGTAAGCTTTAAATAATTCTATGTGAATCATGTTCGAATCTTTGATTCGAATCCCCAAAGTTTAAACATGATTTAAACCAAAGAGCTGATTCTTACATAGTGGTGGAGAATAATTCGGGCAAGCAGATCTAACTTTTAAAGCACAACACCCAGAAATCACGTTGTTAATCTTTTCTATTTTTGTCCGGAAAGAATAGATTAGAAAGAACAAAAGTTTTGCTACTGCACAATTTCATTGTGGTACCATTTGTTTTATTGCTTGACTGCATTTAGTGTTGTTAAGAAAGTAAAACTTCATTTAAGTTGTCCGCCGAGACACACTGTAAGCCGCTCTAAAGCGCATGTAGAGAAAGACAAAGCGTATTCCTTTGTGCTTATCTCATAACGTTATATAAGGCCTTCACAGTATGATTTCGTACGCCGCGATTCCCGGATGGAAACTCAGCTGTGTTTTCTCCTGGTAACTGATTTAGCATAGCTAACTAAATTCTTGTTGCCCTGTAATTTGCTAATACTTAGTAAATTATTTAAAACGCGGAGCTCAGAGAAAGCTGCCTAGCGTAGTTTATAGGAGAAGTTTTGAAATTGATCAATTGAAATTGTGGTTTGATTCCACGGATGTGTTTGCAGTCTAAACAGACTTAACACAGAGTGCTGAGATCCCCCATATCTCTGTCACGATTTGTATTAATCTCAGAAATCCTGTTGATTAATTTTGTCTCACTTTCATAAGTTGAGAATCGTTCAGTACTGTTAAGATATAAAATCTAACCAGTGCTTTTTGCTTGAACAGTGTGAGATGCGCCGCCATCTCAAGTGATACTGTGAAATTTGCTATTATTCCACTTTGTGGTCGTTGCCATAGCAGCAACCTTGGTCCGGAAGTACAGAGAGACTTGCCGGAATTACATTCAATCGTGCATGTGCAGCCCGCCAGCGCCAGCTTGAATTGTAAACAAAGAGCATAGCGTGAAGCTAAGCTAAACTAACGCTAACGCGTTTGCATTGAAGTCTATGCATTTCCAGTAGCAACGAAGGCTAATAGATAGCACGTAGCATATAGTGGTCTTAAATGCATTGTATGGCTGATGTTTGAAATAACTCTTGCATCTCAGTTGTTTCTCTTTACTCACCTTGGAAAAGTTGACAAATGCAAAGTTAATAAAAGTGTGCACGATCTAACTGCTGAGTTTAATCACCATCATTTTATTTTATTTTTTCCTGCTGTACTTGGCCTGTTGAATTTGATCAGTTTGAACTCACATAAGCTGTTGGTTTTATTAGTGATGAATTATAGTTTTGTTTTCATTACTATAAATTAACGCTCTCTGACTTATTCAAGTATAAATACTTTCCATTCATCAACATATAGGAACACCCATTTCCTATAACTGTTGATTTATACGGATAAGACTCACTGATTAAATAAATTGTAATTGTTTAATTTAATGATAAACTGCATTAAATGTTACTCTAACCAACTTCATTGTTTTGAAATTTTAATTTCATTAATGGTTCATTTATGCATGGCGTTATCATTTTAGCAATAATTAATAATTTAATTTAGTCATAAGTGTTCTTATCAATCTTAATGATAATTTATAAAAGTTATTACTTCTTTACAGGTTTAAAGTTAAGATCAATTCAAATTTGAATTTAGTCTTTTCATCTAGTGGAGCCCTCCAATTAGCCAAACTTCAAAAGGAAAATTCGGATTTTTCTACTACGTAGGCTAAGTGGTTACTATATAACACAATAAAACCAACACTTCTTGTAGTGTCAACTCAACAGCGCCACCGCTTTGACATCCTTAAATACGCCTAATGCTAAGAGAAAACTAACTCCTTTGTTCTCTCTCTCTACTAACTATCTTCTTTTAACTAGACTATTGATGCTGGTTTAAGGATTGTGCTTGTGAGAGTCAAAAAGCAGAGAATTTTAGAAACATTTAATAGATGTTTGGGACACTTGAACACTTTTAATTGTTAAAATTGTCTGATCTCACCCCTCCTTTCTCACTCATCAGGTCACAAAGAAGATAGGCGTCGTTAGATCCAATTCTAAACACGCATCCAGAAACAATTTATTTGGTGTACGGAGTCAATCCTATTCAGAAGCCAATACTGTTATTGTTGTCCTACTTTCTGTCACTTCAGAAGAAAGTTAATAGCAACTTCAGTCCTGGTATTTAGAAATCTTATTTTTATATTTAACAAAAGCTAAAGGAACCCTCTCTCTAGGAAAGTGGAAACTACAGATTTTCACCCTACTCCTTAGTCTCCTTATCACTTTTGTTTTCTTTTTTCTCTCACTGTGTCTGTGCTACTGACTCTTTCCACAGAGACTACCAGTTAGACACGCGTACCCACCAGAGGGCCACAGTTCCAGAGAACCACACTTAACTCAACATTAGTACACACTAAACAATGCACATTAACATTTCTCCTTTTCTGTTTGCATTGTTCTACCTTGTTTTTGTTTCTTTCTCCTCTCTATCTCTCTTTAAGGTCTGTGTCAGTTAAAATCCTAAGTCCTCCCCCCGCCGCAAAACATGGCTCACTCCAAAGATCCTGTCGGCCATTGGAAGGACCTGGAAACATGGCTGAGTGTTGTAACAGGCAGTCTCCTCCCTAAAGCTGCCGAAACACTGCAGCCCCTGACGCAAAACCAATTGGATGAGAACATAGACAGCATCATGAAGCAAGACCCAAGTCAAAGCTTCAACCACAAGGAGCTGGCCAAAATCACTGGTACTTTGAGTCACACACTCATAGCCACCCTCAAATTGAGTGACAGACACGCCTCCCAACTCCAACACAAGCTGACACGCCTGCAAGCCCGCATCGAGCAGCTAGAGCTAGAGGCTCAGGAACGTCTGGAACAACCAAATGAGGTGGATGAAGGTACCACAGAGGAGATCGACAAACTACAAGAAGCCCTAACAGCCATCACAGAAGAAAGAGAACAAGCCAGAGCAGACCACGCTGACGTCGCTAACAAGCTAGATTACGCTGAACAGCTACTGAAGGAAGCGAAGGTGGACTTAAGAGACAAGAAGGCCAGAATCAAAGCCCTTGAAACTCACCTGAGCGAAGCAAGACATGAGATCGACAGACTAATGCAGGAAGTGGATGACATCAAAGAGGAATCCGCCAGTGAACTCAGGCATGCCTATGCACTGCGCTATGAACCTCCAAAGACAAGATGTGCACCAGCCTCGCCCCTGCCAAGCAGGACAGGATCCCCTGTCCCTGAGCTCTCACCTATTGAAAGAGGTGAGAAACCATGCCGAAGATCTTCGCCAACACCTTCTGAAGAGCCTTACCTTACCCCACAGCGACGAGAGCCTGTGATAGCCAGTCACAGATCGTCATACAGTCTGGACCTTAAAGACCTTGACAAGCTGGCCAGAAACATTGGCAAGTTTACTCCAAGTGTGTCAGGTGGTTTGGAGGTCCACGCTTATTTGCAAGACATTGATTTCCACCTGGAAATGAGACCCAATGTTTCTGATAAAGAAAGACTGTATTTGCTTCGAGCCACATCCAGCACTGAGGTGCGCAGCTTCCTGGACCGACAACCGGCTCGGGTAAAGAACGATTACCGTTTGCTCCAAGAAGCCCTCATCAGAGAGTTTGCAAACCCTGAATCAGATCAAGGACTGTTAAGTGCTCTGGAGACAAAACAAGCTCGCAATGAGTCTCCACATGCTTACTACAACCGACTCAGGCAAGCCTTTTTCGGAACTCACAACGAACCGAATATGGAAGAAGACCTGAACTTTAAGATTCTCTTCCTGAGAAACCTCCATCCTGCAGTAAGCCAACATCTCGGAGTACTCGCATGCCCACGAACAATGAGCATCCAGCAATTGCGAGATTTGACACAGAAAGCCCACGACAAACAAAAGATGGTGTTAGAGAAAAACACTAAAACTGCAAAAGTTCTTGACTTTAACACCCAGAATCCAGAACTGGCACTAGAGGGTGCCCAACGCCCAAACAGCATGAGACCACTATCCCCAGCGTGGAATGCGTCTTCGTCCAATAGACAACGGAACTCCTACAATGACACAAGACCTAAACAAAGGAACAGTCACTGGGATGGACCGCGTGGACAACGACGCTCACCTGAACACCACCGGGAAAGAAACCAATGGGGGTCAAACAAAAGCTGGTCACCATCCAAGGGAAGACATCAAAACCCTGTATCATCAAGTCCAAGGAGTCAACGAAGGTACTCCAAACATTTCCACCCTGACAACGCTCAGACTCAATCCCAGCAAGAGGAAAATACCCCACCGGGATTTGACCCTCAAGAACTGGTGAAATTGATGATGAAAGAGTTTCTCAAATGCATAGAGGAGGACAGGAAACGGGAAAAGGAAAAAGCAGATTCAGCCTGACTAGTCGCCGAGCGGAGAAGCAACAATCACCTGAACCAACAAACACTTGCAGATGAAAGCCCTCAGGTTTCCAAAAGTGCCGTTCGGGTCGTCTGCCACTCCTCCGACAAACCTCAGTTCAGTCCTGAAACCCTTCCTGACCCATGCCAAACTCCGGTACCTCCATTACTGGAGGAACATTTGACAGCTCCATCATCATTGAAAAACAAATGGGGGAGGACCACAACTTGACACAGATCAACTGTTCTACCCTCTACATACTAACATAACCTTTGACATTCTAGGGAAACACCTAGTTAAACACAACACTAATACTTTCTCCTCTACAGCACTGCTAGAACAACTTCTAGTAGAGAGGATCCACTCCACATTTGCAACACTGTTTTGCTGGTTTTTAACGTACCTTGTTTTGTTGCATCACTGTGCCCCTTCATTTCCTTTCTCTCTCTCTCCCTAACTAATTTGCAGTTCCAGTCCCCTCTACAGGGAACTCCTGCAAATTCATGCATAGGGCCTAAAAGTAGGATTGACTCCTTCTCCCAAATTAGTGTCAATTGCTGCAGAATTATTGCTTATTTAAGTTGAAGCTAGCGCCACTCCATACTTGCAATGAAGTAAACTAGCTAAATAACTAAATTTGAATTATTTCAGGCAATGTTACACTACACCTTGTGTTCCTAACACGAACAATTTAAGCTAAAACCTGCACCAGAACTCAGTCTATGGAATGGAAATGTGGTTTGTGTCTTGTGTGTCTGTTCTCTCTCTACCTATGCCTCTTGTTCCAGTGTCTGCCGATGTTCATGCCAGGAACATCACCATCCAAATGGGGGATGTAGTGAGTCAACGGATCGTTCCAGAACCGAACAAGCCACAGACCATGTTATCCTTAAAAGATTGGTTGGTGCCTACGAGTCTGAGATTGATTTCATTTTCAAAGCAATCCACAGGCACCCAGCAAAAGGCAAATCCACAGGATACCTAGCCAGTCAACATCACAGTTGCGTGTTAATTAACTTTACACCCTAAAACAATAAGAGGCTCTACAATCAAAAACCCACCAAACCGGTTTTTGAGAAGTACCTTTTGGTTCGCTTGTCCTTTGGCGTCTGCAAGGAATACACATTCTCAGGCAGACACAGAAGCGATCAGAAACGCTTCCAAAGTTTAATGGACATACAGTAAAACTGTGTTTATTTGAGTAATGTATGTTTGCTTTATGTTTCTGTAGGTTTTTGTGTGTACATGTTCCATGTGTTTAACAAAACTGTTATAGATAGTTCTTGAGTAATAGCCCTCAGCGACAAATGAAATCTACAGAATGTTTGTGAAATACTTCATGTTTGGTATCGATTGAAAGCTAGGAACATTTCAAATGCATTGGTTTATATAAAGAAACCATACTATGAAAAGTGTCGATGTTATAAGACTTTATTTTTACCACTATGCTATCAAAGCAGCATCCACACCAGGTGTCAACCCGGCCTCCTAGAGGGCAGAATTGGGGTGTGACTCCACCCCGCACCTTATCTGATTGGACAAGTATTGTGTAGACCCAGCCTCTACCAAAGCCTATAAAACTTTGAACAAAGGAATTTCATCGTCGTCTTTTGCCGGTCATCTTTGCCAGTTGTCACCGCCGTCGCTGCCCGGACGTCGCTCTTCTCGTGCTGTGGCCGTTACATCGCCTCGCCGGAAGCCTCGTTACATCACGCAGCAGACCGCGACCTTCACTTGCTGCCGGCTCGACCCCCGATCTGCTTGTGCAACCGCTTCAACAACAAGCCATCGGGTCAACACATCCAAACCCTGAAACTCATCCTAACTACAGGAACCCAGGAAGGACTTCGAACGCCGCCTTGTCCAACATCCGTATCCCTAGCAACCGACTAAGGAAACCCCTCTTCACCGACAAGGGAATTCCATCACGTCACTGAAGTTGCTACGCTGACCAATCAGCTTCGCCGGGATTTCCCTTTGGACCAGTCGAGGAAACCAAAAATTACATCAGAACGCAAGTAGCACAAACGAGGTTTCTATCCATTACTGAATCTGGTGTGAATTATGTTTAAGTAGTAAAGAATAACAAAATTCTCTGCTTTTATGGTTTCTCTCAGGTTGCAATGCTAAGAACGTAGCAAATGCTAGAAGTTGAATCCACTCAGTCATAACTCTCCTCAAACTGCTTGTGAGTGTGTGTATGTATGTGCGTTTGTTTGTTTTACGTAACGTTAGATTAGTACTTTGTGTTGTAGAGTAGCAATAAACTTTTGTTTCGTTTTAAGATCCGTGTTGGTGTGTTGTGTGCTTTATAAGTTAATGCCTCAGCTTCAGATACTGCTACCTTGCTTATTAAATAATTAGATACTGTTTTTATATTGTTATTGTTGGCCACGTAATAATATAATACAGAATTGCTTTACACTAAACGTTCTATTTGCTGGACAAATACTAAAGTTAAGTGTAAGCTTTAAATAATTCTATGTGAATCATGTTCGAATCTTTGATTCGAATCCCCAAAGTTTAAACATGATTTAAACCAAAGAGCTGATTCTTACAACAGTGAAAGGCAAACATGATTTTCAAATAAATTCATCTTCATTTCTATTGCGCTTTTACAATGTGGGTTGTGTCAAAGCAGCTGTACATAGTTCTAGTAAATTGAACCTGTGTCAGTCCAGTTTTCAGAGTAGAAGTTCAGTTTAGTTCAGTGTGGTTTAATTTTCAGCGCTGAAAGTTTAAACTCTAAAGAGCAAATGCATCAATGCGCAGCTCCACAAGTCCCAAACCAATGCTCTCCACTCCTCCATGACCACCACAGCATCTGCTCAGGATACAGCCTGGTCCAGGATTATGGATATCTTGGCATCATTTCTTCACAGTTTTTGGATTGCATCAGTGGCGCTGCATAATCTCCAGGGGCCTCAGGATGAGTATCCACAGGTGGAAATGGAGAATAAAGAAAATAATTAGAGCAGCTGCAGTTCATAGTGTATTTAAACGAGATGTAAAAATGAAGAGCTATAAATGAAAATATTAGTTATATAAACAAACCTGTAAAGCATACGAGTATTTCTAACACAATATATTAAGTGCATTAAAACAGGAGGAGTGTGTCCTATAGGTGGTTGGTCAAGCCTGCTCACCTGGGTGGAACACACTCGTATATCATACTGTTATGTGCTGCATTGCGTGTATGCTTTACTAAAAAGATAGGACTTTAACTTAAAAGTTTTTTAGAACTGAGAGTGTGTCTGATTTGTCCTTATCACAGTATCCCACTGTTATAAATTTAGGTCATTATGCATTTGTATTAAAGTATATGTTGTATAATTTATTTTGTTTAGTAAAACACTTTCTTGCCAGTCTACACCAACACGAACTGAATAAAACTTGCAATTAGCTATATTTGGCTACATTGATACTGACTGATTATTTATTTAGTGAAAATTGAAGGCGAATGGAAATGTTTGTGGGCATTTGTTGGAATGACAAATCCAGGATGAAGTGTTTAGACTAGCGATGCAACGATTAACCGGTTTCACTGTTAACCGTAATTTAATTCATCACAGTTGATTAATCGTTAAGACTTCAACACCGCATTTCTGCACGGAACAAAACAAAAAAAAGTTATGCCAACTGTGCACTAGTTTGTACACCAAGACTAATAACCACGCACACTGGACTAACTATGACTGGGGCTATTAACTAAGGCTCATGCAAGTTCGTTATTTCTAATGGAGGGACGCGCACACGATGCAACACACTCACACTTTTTATGCACATCTAGTTGAGATGACAGGGGGCTTCTGTGACCGCGAGAACTACAAACGGCTAAAGTTTGGGGAAAAAGCAATGGAAAGTATACATATTTGCAAACCCACCTAAAGTTACAAATAATGGTGCTGATGAGAGCGATCATTTGGCCAATGCTAGCCGAGACTAACAGAGTGTTTTCGGAGAGAGTGCTAAAAGACTCATGCCTGTTTCACATTGCAAGCATGAGCAGAGCATGTTTTTTGGCGTCCATGTTACCAGATTAGAGCTTTAATACTGCACGCAGAAGCAGTGCATCATCGAAGCAGCAGTGGCGCGATAGTTTTGCCGCTGAGTCTATTTTTGCTGGTGCATTGATATTGACAATGACCAAAAACACATTGAATGAGCAATTTGACCTATTAACTGCATCAATAATATCCAAAGATTTTTATATACTCAATGAACTTAAACAATTAAAACGACAACGAATATTTAGTTGGGTCCGAACTACAAAACGAAATTTAAAAAATTTTAAACTAGCTTTAAACTAGTGGGCTTTTGAAATCAATGAATGCAAATAATCGTGATAACCGCGATTATTTCTTAAGACTAATCGAACAACAAAAATTTCTAATCGTTGCATCCCTAATTTGGACCATTATTTTAGGCCTTTAACAGGAGATTTTGTAAAAGAAAATACTTAGATCTTAACTTTTAAGCATTATAATGGTGTTTATGTTCAAACAGCAACATTACAGGTTGACTAAACTTAAAAGGAAACCAATGACCCCTTTAAAGCTTGTAAAGCTTTCATTTTTACTACAATCACAGTCCGAATTAAACTATAAATTCATTTTTCAGTCTTTCATCATTAATAACACTTACTTCTCACTTTACATCTATCTATTTGCTGTCTAGCGTGTTGGTGTTAAAACTAATTCTCAATGTTTTAACTCATAGTTTTATACTGTAGATGGTTTATCTTATAGGGAAATTATACTAATTCTACAGCTTTATTTATTCAATTGTAGTACTTTGTTTGAAAAGCAAACACTGTTTTGTCGCAGGCTGTTTCTTTAATCCTTCTTTAGGTCGCGGTTCCTGTGGAACGACTGCGCGTATTCTCTATCTTCGCTGTCACTGGCAAAACCTGGAAATGGGAGCAGTGGATATTTATACCTCCCGCTTCTGCCGGCTGATACCAACTTAAAGCAATATTACAGGGGAGGACCGATGTAGTAAAGCTTATTCGTTACTTGTTTTATTTACCTATGCTATTGATAATTACTCTTTTACGTTTGTTATGGCATTTATATTATAAATGTATTCATTTTTATTTGTTCAGTTGTAAATGTTTGTTTGTAAAAATGTTCATTTGTATGTTTATCCCCTATGTCGCGTAAATTAGTAGTTAGGCTCAGCCTGCTTCGACGTGTTGTTTATATCTGAAAATATTTAACGTTAGATAATATAAAACCAGATTTTATTAACCAAATATTCTTTATTTTTTTATTTAAAATGTAAACTATTTAAATAACTATATGTTATTTATTTTTGATAATTTAATTTGATCTGTCCTATGCTCTTCTCACACCTGCAGCTTCTCCACGATGCAGGTCCAGCTTTTCCAGCCTCCGGCGCTTACACTGAGGCTCCCACAAAGGAAGTTTAGCCAGAAGAATTAATGGTAGTGTCCAACACAGCCTTGTTTCTCTCGAGGTTATTTACCCTTCATCTCCCGTCAATTGGTGTTTTTTTCCTCGCCACTGGCTTTCTCGGATCGGGACCTGCGGAGCTGCGCTTCGGTGGATTTGCTCTTCAGTGTTTGGACCTCTGAACTGAACTAACGGTTAACTGAACTTCAGCTTTGAAAACTGGACTTTACCAGAACTTCTACGTGAAGCTGCTTTGACACAATCTACATTGTAAAAAGTGCTCAATAAATAAACATGAATTGAATTATAAAGTCGTATATTTCATAAATACACACAAATGGTGAAATATCAATCTTTTGAATGATTGTTTATTTATTAAGATATTACTTTTAATATTTATTTATTACGTTAAATATTTATATTTCAATCATAGACAATGATGTACATATTGTATTACAATTAATAATTAAATACTGTAAATATATTGATTTTATTTTACGTTTACCTTTTCAATTCAATTCAGCTTTATTTGTATAGCGCTTTTACAATGTAGATTGTGTCAAAGCAGCTTCACATAAATGGTCAGAGTAACTGGAACAGTTTATCAAGTTTTTAACAAGTTTACCTTTTGTTCCACTAGATGTCGCTCAGTGGTAAGCGAATAAAGTGCTTTCAGAATAAATTTCTTTCAC